TATTTGCAGCTATTAGTTCGAGGTTAATTGATAAATACATAAAGATGTTAAATATTCGGGAATACTTTATAGATTAACTGCATATATTATCTTTCTTGTATATAAACAATTTAAATTAAAAAAAAAAAAAAAACTACATTTCCAAAATTTCTATTCAGCACAAATTTAGAAATTAAAAAATATATAAAAAAAACGTTTAGTTTTTGCCAACGTGTTTCAGTTTAATCATAATACTTTCAAGGCATTTAGCTATAAAAAAAATATAGATACGTTAAATCCCAACATTCATGGGAAAATTCACAATTCCATTTGATTAATATTGCAAGAAATAAATAAATAATAAGAAAAAGTTTCCAATTTAATTTTCGGAATTTTTAATTGATAGAATAATTAGCATAGATTAATTATAAAAAACATCTAAAGTTTAAAAAACTAACATCGTTCAGGTAAATTAAAATAAATTTTTAGACTGTGCTATATTAATACAATGAGTGATATAAATTAACTGAAGAATTAGTACATTAGTGAAAACCTTAGGTTAGGTATAACGAGACATTAAAGTTATTATTTGGTCACTGGCGCAACAAATGTTTAGTAATTGACGTCCTCTATGTTTACTTGACCAAGCATTTGTTATTGTTCACAGAATTACAATTAGTAAGTAAAATTGTCCCTTAAATTAATGTTTAGAAGTAAAGTTAAAAATTCTAAGAATGTTTTTAACTGTCAATAAATAATATTGTCATTGTTTTAAAATTAATTTGTTATATTTTGACGTCACAATTTCAACCACATTTTGAACTTTTACATCAACCGGTTTTATTATTTTCTAAAAAGTTGCGAAATATGCCAAATTTGCTTAAATTAGAGAGCAAATTTTTTTTAATTTTCAAAATATTCCCAACCAGCATTAAGCTACACAGATTAAATAAAATTAGGTTTTAGAAAGGCCTTGGTACTATTTTATAAAAAGACTTTTATACTGTTATTTTATAAGTTGAGAATTTTATTGTTTCAAGAACAAAAATAATTTAACACATAAAATGCCAAAAAAAAATTTTGTAAGTGGGAAAATAAAAACACAATCGAAAAAAAACTTATAACGTTTTTTGCTTAGCAGCATTGTCTAAGTCAGTGATTCTCAACCACTGTGTCACTGAGTCACTTTTGAGTACCGCCAAATTTTTAAAGAGTACCGCCGAGTTTTAGTAGGTTACCGCAAAGCACTTATAATAATATTATTAGTACTTGTCGGTAGTTCCCCTAAAATTTGGCGACTCATGTAAGTGCCGCGGCACAATGTTTCAGAATCACTGCTTTGAAAAAGTTTATTAATTTTGCATTTCAAAACGAGAAAAATCGAATGTTACAAAAGCAAAAAAAAAAATCGAACATTAAAAGTTTCTGAAAAAATATTTTCAGCAAGTTAACTTTAGCACTTTTAATTTTTAAAGGTTACTTAGTTTTTTAAAAATATTAATTTAAAAGTTATTCAAAAAGCCTTTTTTTAATTACAATTTTTTTTTGTTCGTTTATTCAGTAATATAACAAAATTAATGTTAGCGAAACTAAAAAGATCTATAAAATTTTTTAAGGAATTTACTTTGGCTTTGAAAAGGTACGATTTTTCGAAATCTTTATTTTAAGAGGAGTTTGAGAAAACAATAAGAAGAGCGAGAGAAATTGAAATTTATTTAAAATTATTATGTTTATTTATAATTATTAAAAGCATAAAAAATATTTTGACAAAAAATTTATTTTACACACCACACACACACACTAACTATTAATTTTTTAGAATTAATTTTAAAATGTTGCTTTTAAAAAATAACATTCTTTAGATCGTTTTTGTTAGTCAAATAAAATAAAATTTCGTAAAAAAATAACACACTTTAAAGTTCGTTTTTGTTCGTCAAATTTCAAAAAAAAAAATACATAAAAACAAAATCAATAATCTTTTTAAATCATACATTTTTTTCTTCATTTTGCAATTTTTTTTACTTAATCGCGATTATTGCAATACACAATAAAGCAAATTCTTAAAAAATATGTTTTGTTATGCAATTTTGTTCAAGAATTATGTTATTGTATGAGAGTAGGGGGATTTTATTTGTTTCCACCTCAACTCAACTTCTTTTTAAAATTAGTTTGCATTTTTATTGGATTAGTTTCATAATTTTAAGTTGTTCTTCTATTTATAGTGTTTCTTTTGCAATACTATGCTTTCAATCCCCCACCCCCACCCCGCCTTCCTTCCCCTTCGCAGCCACCTTGCCTTCTCCTTTCCAACGACCTTTACTTTAGATTCTGAAATTTTTTATCTAGCGCATAAATTCAAACTTTCTTTTTGTTCTTCAATGCCTTCTTTTTTTTTTTCTTAGAGCATTTTAGTTTTAATTGTATACAACCGTTTGTATTATTTTAGTCAAATAATTTTAAAGTATTTTTAAAAAAAGTTTTTCAATTCCGTGTATTCCGCGTAAACAACGGTAAACTTTAGTATTCTGATAAAAAATTAAAGTTATTTACATTGGTATCAGCATAATACACCTCAGAGGCATATGTCATAAAACCTCAGTTTTGTATCTTTTGTATCTCAGTTTTGTATCTTACTAAATTTTTTCTCTATAACAATAGATGATTTTTTGTTTAAAATAAATGTGGAATGATTTTACACCAGTGGTGCAGCGGCGCGTTTAAAAACGCTGTTGTTAATCGTCACACAATTTGTTTTTTTTTTAATTAACAATGTTTTTATGCGTTATAAATAACAAAAATTTATTTTTAGATTTAAAAACAATTTTTATTTTGTCCCTAAAAACTTTAAAAGTATCACTTCACCAAAACCTTGAAATATTTGACTGGCAAACTTTACCAGTGGTGCAGCGGCGCAAACTTTACCAGTATATGACGTAAAGTTACGTAATAGTATAAAATATTCTTTTCTCTCATTCAACCTAATTTTAAATAAGTTTTAAAACAATATTGATTTATAATAAAAAATTATTTATTCAACATTTAAATACTAAAACATAAAATTATATATCATTTTAGCGTATTTTACTCAATCTTTAAAGAATTATAATTATGACTTTAACTTACTCTATGATGCTAGTTATTTTTTTATTATTAAATAATTATTTTTATAGTTAATAATAAAAATTATTATTTGATAATAAAAATTATTATTTGATAATAAAAATTATTATTTAATAATAGTTATTAACTAGAATCGGGGTTGATGTTTAACCGGGTGCTAACTGCATAAATATAGATACATCTTATAAAAATTTATGATATATATATATCATAAATTTTTAATTTATATATATATATATATATATATATATATATATATATATATATATATATATATATATATATATATATATATATATATATATATATGACAAATTTAATTGTTCAATTGTTTGAAATAAAAAACAATAATTGATTTTTTCTTATTTGTGTCAATAATTTTTTATTTATATGTGTCAATAATTTATTTATTTGTGTCAATAATTTTCTTGTCTGTCAGTGAAAATCAACATGGAAATCAAAAATTTTAAAAAACAGGGACATTAATAATATACAATTATCATTTAATAAATAATACCCATCTAGCCAAATACTGATACATTACCAGTCAAAATCAAAAAAAAGATGTCAAATGCCAAAGACTCAAAAGCTGCTTTAATATTTGCAAAATTAATGGTTCAAAGTTTATTTAAATGGTATCTTACGCTCAATGGAAAGATACATTACATACATACATACATACATACATACATACATACATACATACATACATACATACATACATACATACATACATACATACATACATACATACATACATACATACATACATACATACATACATACATACATACATACTTACATACATACATACATACATACATACATACATACATACATACATACATACATACATACATACATACATACATACATACATACATACATACATACATACATACATACATACATACATACATACATACATACATACATACATACATACATACATACGTACATACATAAGTACATAAATTACATACTTACTTATTTACTTACATATCCAAATACATATATATAAACAGGGGCTATCTAGAAAAATTATTGAGACTGAGGTACCCTCATGCCCATGCGTGGCGTGATGGAAACATTGCTGAATAAAGGCATTTTACGTGAAAGGCATTTTACGTGAAAGTAAACATTATTTGCCAATAAAATAAAAAATAAAATAAAAAGTCCTCAACTTTTGAATTCGGTCGCCGCACAAATACGTTAAACATAAATATAAATCATATGTTATACACTAGATCCGTGTCCCGATTAATAACCTCTGCTAATATTATTATTCAACCGTGACAGGAGTTGAGGCAGAGGTTGTAAAAACTCTCACCAGGATTGGAGTTGAGACCCTGGTCACTTGCTAATGTATTATCTAATGTGTTAACTTATAATTTTCTCAAAGAAAACCTATTATAAGGAACAGCATTCACTTATATTATTATCATATTATAACATTTTAAAAGTTTAAATCAGAATTACTATTAATTCTTGGACACATTTCTAAAAAACATTAACATTTTAATACAGTTTTTAATACATAGGTTTTAAAAAAAAAAATTATATACCCCACATATTATATGTAAACGAAAAAACCGCGTTGTTCAAGCTAGATTTCCTTTTCGTAACGTTTGATTCATTTTCAAACTTCCTAAAGTATTTACTTTTAACCTTTTTTTAAATGTTCATTTTTTTGGACTTGCAAGGACTTTGTGGATTTTGGATGTTTGCAAACCATTTAAATAAATAGCTACAAATACTTCCAAAAACAAATCTCGGTTAGGTATGTAAAATGAAATTTAGTAAATGAAAGAAAAACAAGAACTGTTTACTGTTGATTTAAGTTAATTTGTAATTTTCTAAATTTAGCTTACTGTCAACTTCCTTTTAGAAATCTTTGCAAGCACTGTCAAAATTTTTTTCGTGTGAACATAATATTTGTTTTGAAACGAGGCTTAATTGAAAACAATGCGGACTTCGACAAAGTGACTTAAGCAATCGAGTGCATTAGTCATCGGAGAGATATTGCGCACGAAATAAAGTTTTTGTTTACTTTTGTAAGGTTATCACAGTTAAAAATAAAAAAGCCTTTTAATAATCAATTAATCAATGAAATAGTAACATACGAATTACCTTTATAATTAATATCATCTTCTACATTTATCATTTTAAAGATCGTTTACAATCAGGAACTTGTTGAGTAAAAGTAAAAAAATGGGCGCTTTAAGTTTCTTATTTACACTTTTTATTCCGTTTGCTGTTGCCTATTTTAAAGGGCCAAAATCAATACACGATAGAATTGCAATAGTAGGTGCAGGTCCAGCAGGTATACATATGGCTTATCTGCTAAAAGAAAAAGGTTTCAAAAATATTAAAGTGCTAGAAAACGGAGATGAGATAGGCGGAAAATCTAAAACAATAATGTACAGAGGTGCTGCTCAAGAGTTAGGAACATGCTACGTATCACCGGATTACACAGATGTAATTGAGCTAATTAATAAATTTGTGCCGGAAAGTTTAATTCCATTTCCGTCTGCATCCGTCTGGCTGGAGAATCAACCTGATCCGATAACTTATCAGCAATACCTTTTTAGGTTTGTTTCAAAATTACTAAAAACAAACAATCTTGATAGTATTAAATATGCTATTGTTACAGCGATAAAAAAGTACAACTTCCTGCATAAAAGTTTATTTGGAGAATATGAAGGAGAACTTATGCCACGACCAAGCCAAGAGGTTTTTTATTTGAACTTATTATGTAAATTATGTAATTATTAAATTTTGTTACTAGTTTCTTTATGTTTATTTAGACGTTGTTAAAAATCAACAATACTTTTCTCCAATACATAACTTTGAACAATTTGGAAATACTTCAACCAATTTTTGAAGTGTCAACTACGATGCAGGGCTATGGCCACTTAAATGAGATTGCTGCTTTGTATGGTTTAATGTGGAACACTCCACGCTTTATGATTGCATTTTTAACACGAATGAACGGGGATGAACGAAATGCGGGTATGTTATAATAAAATTAACTAAAACTGATCTGCTTAATTTATTTTATTCAAATTTCATGTTCCAATTCACAAAAATTTTTTATTGATAAAACTGTTCTTACCATAATCTGAATAAAAATGTAATAGTTTTTTTTTAATTTTTGATTGCATTTTCTGCCGTAATACCATAGATAGCATCTTAGTTTTGTTAAAGCAAAAAAATAGTTACTTATATAAATATAAACAGACTATTTTTAAATGACTTTCTTTAGGCATGCATGTTTTGAAAAACGGTTTTCAAAATCTTTGGAAAACAATTGTTATTAAAGAAAATATTAATGTCATATACAATGTTAACATTAAAGTGGTTGAACGTAATTTTACGCAATCTGATGGACCAATCATTCGTCTTTTTAAAAGTCATGGTAAAAGGCTTCCAAAATGGGAAGAGTTTGATTTTCTTATTTGGAGTCCAGAAATGCAACAAAGTATAAATTTATGGGACAACGTTACTCCACTAGAAAAAAAGCTGTTTTCAAATACTACATGTACATATTTTACTTCATCGATAGTCAATTACGTTGACAAAATTCGTGGTTTTACGCCAATCGACTACTGGATAGATAATATGAATAAAAAAATTGAGCACAGTGTATGGGCTCAACGTGATACGTACTCGGTTATAAATGGTTATAAAGGCTACTTATACAGAAATAAAACATTTCCATTGGGCGAAGATTTTAACCCAACAAAAACAGTTATAACTTATCAAATGGCAGACGAGCTACCCAACGTTAAGGATCTAGAGGATGCTTTATTAAAACAAATGAAATATTTTGGAGACGGCGTAACCATTCTAAAGCAAATGACATGGCGCTACTTTCCCCGATATTCTTTGGAACAAATTCAACAAGGCGTTTTGTGGGATATCTTTGATATACAAGGACATTATGGGATGTGGTACATTGGATCTTCAGTTTCGTTTGAAAGTATTAAATCTGTTGTACAATATAACCAGCTTCTTTTAAATAAACTAGAACTTTATGAGGATAACGTTATGTAATATCTCGAAAGTTAATCGTTATATTGTCATATATGTGTCTATAGGAATTTATAAATATGTATATATGTATATATATATATATATATATATATATATATATATATATATATATATATATATATATATATATATATATATATATATATATATATATATATATATATATGCGCATAAAAACACACTTATATTTATTTATATATATATAAACTTATTATTTTATACAGGAAATCAAAATTTTTTATTGCTAGGTGTTCCTATTTAAATACTAGTATTTTATTTATTTTTCATAAAGCATTAAATATTTGTTGATAAATGAATTTAAACAAAAAAATATTATGTCGATGAGTGTTAACTAAAAAATCTCTTCTTGGCTAAAATATTTATTTTATTTTAACTTTTTTTTTAAGCTTTTGAAATTTGAAACTTCATTTCATAAGTTGATATACTTTCTCTAGGATATTTGTAGTCTTAGATTGCTCTATTAGATGTAAAAGGTTTGAGATGCCCCTGACTGGGAGAAACTTTTGTTGACTTGTATTGAACTAAAAATATTTTTCAGAGCAGATTTTTATTTTCCAATTTATGTCTAATTATTTTCATCAGTAGATGTTTTTTTTCAGCAATCATTTTTGTCCATGTTCAGCGCCCATTAATACGCGGACAAAAACATTTTCCAAACTGTGTCAGCAAAAATTTTTAATTACTTTTTGTCAGCAGAAATTTTTTTAGACTTATGTTTTGGCCAAAAGCGCTAACAACCATAGATTACTTGCAAGGACCAAAGATATTTGCTGGTGCATTTAGTATTCATTGCATAGCCTATTTGAGTATAGGAATCAATTGACCAGCCCCGTTGCAAGTTACCTGAGCGCGTTTATAAAACGGCTGAAAATACTATTTTTTTCTTATCTTAGTTATGCCTTTTGACATCACCGCTTTTATCTCTGCCTCCACCTCTACTGCCTCCTTTATCCATCTTGCCACCTCACTTGTCATACTTTTTTCTACCGTCAGGATTAGGAGTTAATGCGAGACGTTTGAGAGCTTATCATACACTAACGGATATTGCTGTAATCACGACTTCTTAGGCTAGAATACTCTCTTTTAATCAATACCCACATTGACGAAATATGTCTCGGATTCTCTCAGCTAAGTTTAAATTTCGTATCCTATCAATGGTATCGCGAACCGATCGCGCTAAGAGACATATTACTGAGCACTTAATCTTCTGTTGCCTCAAAAAGGTCAACCATTGTTTTATTGATTTATTTCTCAGGTAACAAAACATCCATCTAAGGTAACAAATTTTCTCTCTGCTTTTTCACTTTCTGGTCTGTCTCTTTGTTAACGGTTTTTAGATTGAGATTCGTCCAGGGGTAGTTCATTCATTTTTTCCTACTTTGTTAGATAGGTTTCTTCCAACTTACCATTCCCGAGACATCACCTTTATTTTATGCTGCGAATCTATCATTGGTTTTACGGTACCCATTGCTTTTTTATTATAACTATAAAGCTGTGTAGCATACCCTTCTTTCACTTTTGCTGTGTTGTATACACTACTTTTTTTCTTGATATTCACTGGCCATTCGTATTTCCTTACAATTCTGAAATCGTTTGTTTACGATTGAAATCGTTCCGGGAGTTTTGAAGCTAAAGAGGCCTTTTTCTTTCAATTTGCTCCCTATCAAAGATATCAACATTATCTACAAATAAATATAAATGAATTATTTAGCAAAAGCATTTTTAACCAAAATAATTTGGAATTGTTTGAAGAACAACTGTTGCTACTACATTAGAATCATATAAACTATTGTGATGACGCAAATCAAATCTAAAATATAAAACCTTTTACGCTGTAGATGATTGCTGAAATTTCTTTTAAAAACTTTTTAAAGCCCCTAAACAATAAATATATCAACTTGGAAAGACGGAATAAATAGTAATATATATGAAAGCTTAAAGGATATTCTAGGTAATGTTTTCAAAGCATCTTTAGATTAAGGAGTTTTTCCAAACAAATTGAAAGTTGCTAAAGTTATTCCAATATACAAACACCGAGACAAAACAAATATATGTAACTACCGTCCTATTTCCATCTTTCCAAAAATTTTAGAGAGAATAGTTTTTAATAGAACATATAAACACCTTGATTGCAATAGAATGTTATACAATAATCAGTTTGGTTTTAAAAAGAATAATTCAACAGAACACACAATTATTCAATTTATACGAAAAATCTCCTGTTCCTTTAATAAAAATCAGTTAACTATAGGCGTTTTAGTTGACTTTTTTTTAAGGCTTTTGATTCTACAAATCATAATACTTTGCTCAAAAACTTAAATACTACGGCATAAAAAATAATCTGTTAAAATGGTATCAAAGCTAATTAACAAAACGGAAGCAATACGTGCAATAATGGATGCAGTAACAAGATGACTGAAATAATATGTGTGTTCCACAAGATTCTGAAATAATATGGTTCTATTTTAAGATTCCTTTTATTTTTAATCAATATAAATGACCTTAATAAGGCAACAGAACTAAATTGTTTTATATTTGCCGATGATACATATTTATTCTTATCATATGCTAACATTGATGAACTATTTTACGATGTTAACAAAGAAATTAAACACATTTTAAATTGGTTTAAATACATTAAATCAACCATAAACCAAAAAATTGACAAAATAAAGTATATTCTGTTTCACTCCCCATCAAAAAAATACATAATGCCGAACATCTCACCTAAATTATTTATAGACAAATATTGAAATAAAAAAAAGAAATAAAAAAAGAATCGTCAACAAAGTATTTAGGAGTTTATTTAGATGAAAATGAAAACCACATATTAATTTCATCAGCTCTATAATTGTTAAAAGTATTGGAATTTTATTGAAAACCAGAATTGTTTAAACAAAAAAAAACCTTATGCAAATTTACTACTCAATTATACATAGTTACATTAACTATGCAAATATTACTTAGGAAAGTACTAGTAAAAGTAAATTGCGATTTTTTTTAATCATCGGCAGAAACACGCCATACGCTCAATATGTTTTCAAAATCGTTTTGTGCATACAAAAATGTTATTTAATGACATGAAAGTTCTTAACATATATGAATAAACGTTAATAAATTTTTATGTATCTTATGTTTAAATGTCAAAATGATTCAGGATTACTTATTTTCAAAGATTTTTTCACATTTAAAACAAATTTTTATTATTAAATTTTTATGGGGATATATAGATTTAGAGATTCGTAAAAGTCATCGCTACATGTAACTGTGGTTTCGGTGCAATGCGTTCAACGGTTGGTTGTTTTGTCAGTTTTTTGACGGCAGATATTATTCAGCAAATTTTATATCTTTTTTGCGTAAAAGATCCTTAAAACCTGAGATAGGTTTTTTAATCACAGCGTCTATGTCCTAATTCGAAATAAGTTTTTGCTAACAATAAATAATTTTAAAAATTTTTTGAAAAAAAATTAAAGAAAAAAAACTCGAAATTATTCCACTGTGTTTTGGCTCACGGCTACGTTTTTTTTTTATTTTGAATTTTTTCATCGTATATTGAAAGTTCATATACATTGTTCAGAACGTTTTTCGTTGTGTTTGACGACTCTAATACAATCATATTTCAACAGATGTAAGTTCTATACATTTTTTTTTTTTTGGATGCGAGCTAAGGTGCTGACTTTTTTAAAACACATATTACATCATATTATTTTATAATGAACATTTATCCATCATAACTTAAAATTTGTTAGCATTAATCTTTTAAAAACCCGGTGACCCACTAATAAAAAACAAAAGTATTATTAATAATTAAAAAAGTGTTGTATTTGTATTTACAGATTGTAATTAATTTTCTATTTTTTTTAAGTCCTTAATATTGACAAAATAAACTTTAAGTTATGTTTATCAGAGTATATAGATGCAGTGACGGATCCAACATTTTTTGGTGTTCGAGATAGTTAACTTCCACACATGGAGCAAACTTCAAACATTTGTATATATGCAAATACAAAGCATCATTGTTTATACTTATGTCAAATAATGATGCTTTGCAAAAAATTGCGATGATTGGAGGGTGGGAACAAAAAAGCCCTAAAATTTTATCCCCCCTCCCTTTTCGCACCCCAAACGTGAGGGCAACAAGTTGATAAGATATTTTTTATACTATTCTAAGATGTTATGTTACCTCATGCTGAATGGAATATGCCAATAAAATGGGTTTTTTAGCAAGACAACGATCCGAAACACACTGCAAAAGTAGTCAAGCAGTGGTATAGATCGTCATAATAGAGACTTTTATTTTTTAATTAGACAGAGACTTATATATTTATTATATAATTTTTTAATTAGATAGAGACTTATATTCATCGATAAATTTTAAGTTTCATAGTATTACCTCTCAGCGTTCAAAAATTATGATCATATAAAGTTTTTATTAAGATCATATAAACCTTTTAAGTTTTTAAATATCATATAAACCTTTTAAGTTTTTAAAGATCATATAAACCTTTTAAGTTTTTAAAGATCATATAAACCTTTTAAGTTTTTAAAGATCATATAAACCTTTTAAGTTTTTAAAGATCATATAAACCTTTTAAGTTTTTAAAGATCTTTTAAAAACCTTTTAAACTTTATATGATCATAATCATAAAAAGTTTAAAAGTATATAAATGCAGTTTTTTTTGGTAATTTTTTCAACAAAAAAAGCTAAAAAAACTACAAAAAATGTTGCATCCGTCAGTGTGTACATGAGGTAAGTCTTGAGCAACATTTACTGTTCTTTAAGCATATACACTACCGTTCATAACTATTTAAATGACATTAACTTTTTAAAAAAATGCTATTTTTTATTTAACTATTTTTATTTATTTTTGCATTATTGGTTAATTTAAAGGTATTTTGATGCTTTGATAATAATCATTAAAATAATAAATGCTTTGATAAAAATCATTAAAATAATAAAAATGCTAAAGTGGGCAAAAATACATAAAAAAAGAACCATCAATAATTGTA